AGGTTGGCCAGAGCGACTGGAATTATAATGACTTTGCTTTTTCTCCGAACAGGCATGACACATTTTTCGGTGTGCACTCACCCAGAAGAAAAAGTAAATGCTACCAAGCGTCACACGGAAATAATATAACTAAGACAGATATATACCAAGAAGACACGATAGTCTCAACGATGGTTATTTTCTGTTCAGCAGATAACAAAATTTCAGTTTTTTTTCAACGTCTTGGTCGAGCTGGGCGAATACTGACATTAAAAGGCGCCTGTACACAGTGAGTGCGAATGTGTTTCAGAGCGTCGGAAGGGAGTTGCGTTCGTGACCAACTAACCAAAATTGCGTCCAGCTATACAACCCGACTATTTCTAGAACGCGCTTTGGAGCAGTGTATGCGTGCCTCCGAAAAGAAACGAATGGCCGTTACGGTTACCATTGATTTGATTGTAGTTAATGTTTCCCTATTCTCTCCTAATATCGCTTTTCGCATGATGACCCTTGGGAATATCCAATAGCTGCCTTTCCTCTCTAATTATTTTCAGGAAAGCTGTCACAACCTCGTTGCCTAAATAAATATCCGTTTTCAGGGCTATTTCCTCTGGGGAACAGCACGCAGACATTGCGGAAAGTTATTTCTTCGCCAGTTTTATTCCATACGTATACACACGTTCTGAGTAGTGCATCTTTTATGCAAAAAAGGCTGGTGAACAGACTGGGAGCGCAAATATAACCAATTTAAATTACTCACGCAGGTAGATATTAAAGTGCCCTAAATAGACATTTTTTATGTCAGGTCAGGCGTTAAGTTTATTATAACAACTGTCACTAAACTTTCTAATGTACGATTAGTAAACGTAGGACCAAGCTTACTGGTCAATCTTACTATATAATAAACATTAGCCTTCTTGTAAAACCTCGTGTTTTTACTGTTGGTATATATTCATACTTATGCATAAACATTATTTACCCCTTTTAGAAATGTTTTGGAATAGTGCTATCTAGGGAAACACCAAATGCAGTTTAAAAGATCTCCTTTTTTCCTGGTGTACTATGCACTGCCTTTTTACCTGTTTTACATGTTTCTATTCCCTATAAGGCAATTGGCTGTTTTCGTCTTCTGAAAAAGTACAGGACATATCCCAAGTGCAAAAGATAATTCCTTTTTCCTGCGAAATTGTATATAACATTTCATAGTGACAAATATTGATCTTTCCCTGGACTCTTTTCAGAACTAATTGTGATTCTTCGAGAAAAACGTTTCATTTATTCGAATTTTAGCATTTACTTCTTTGCGTGAAGTATGCCAATAAAATAGTGTATTTTATGGGGACTGAAGTAATTAGAGCATTATTTTGCAGGTTTTCTTCACTTTAATATGATCTTAAGTCGCCGTTAGCATGACGCTAAGACATGCATTTCGCATAACACCGTCAAGTTTGCATGACAACTCTTGTAGTTCGCAAAGTGTCTAGCCAACGGACCCGCAAGTTAAAGTACGTGAAAGGAAAATTAAATCCTTAAGAAGAGACATATTTCGATGTATAAAGTGCCATTTATAATTTAAGGACTAATTTGTTCTACCGATAACTGTAAAATGCGAAAAAGGCTGTACGACAGGTCAATGATAAAAATCGTCGTATAAGTGAGAAAAGTGTAGGAAAATAGGATAAAAGGACAAAATAATTAACTGTAAACGTAGCATGCTAATATTTCGTTGAGTGTCCTTTAACGTTTATAACAGCAGTAATTCGGAAGGGCATAAAGACAACTGTAATGTCAATGGTGGTTTGGTCTATACAATTATTAACGACGAACTTCAATTTCAATTGCATTGAAAGACGTTTTGGTGGCTTGTCCCGGTTTCTCTGGATTAAGGCGAAGAGATTTTCAACGGAATTGAGGTCCGGACTGTTCGGAGGAATAACAATAGTTCTCAGCCCGCAGGCGGAAAAGGTGGCTGCAGTCGTAAAAAATATATTATAGTCGTAATGCAAATTATAATCATACCTCATTTGATTGGTAATAGAATGACAATGTCCATTTGACGCCTGTGACTGCCATTATAACCAAAGGCATCTTTCACAATGTCCACATATGCCTTGCTGTTACCGGTATCCTTTTTCGACGGGCATATTGGTCGCTCACCGAACTTGATCGCCATTGAAACCATGAGGCGGCGATAGTTCTTGAATATTGATGTGGAAGCAGTGCGTTCTTTGGGGTAGTTCTTTCCGCATATGACCGCATGTGCCGACATTGTAAACTTTTCTAAGAGTACTTCATCGCAATAAAGAATGCCTATACAAAACGAAAGTCTGTGACTTACGTATTCCTGAGCAAAAAGGAATCTTTCCTTAATACGTTTCCTACTGATGAAGGCCAAATTCTCGCATTCTTTTTCTAACTAGGGTCCGAGCAAACATTGAAAATGTTCTCTGTGAATAGCCCTAACGGGCACATAATGATATTTCTTAGTGTTTGATGAGTCGTCATCCTGTACTGTTGTAGAACGTTTTCGTCCAGGAGTCTTCCTTCTGGACACTGTTTTTAGTGGATTCTTTGGCCTTGCTTTTATCAGGCATATTAGTTGATCAATTAGGCAGCGGACCTTCGGCTGCCAACTTTCGTAACCGGATAAAATCAGCCTCAGATACGAAATGATTTGACATCTTTACAGCGCAGCCCAACACGAAAAAGTGAAAGTAAGCTGCGCGTTCTAGTGCACACTCATAGTTATCCGTAGGGTAAAACAAATTTTATCATACAAATTTATTATGGCATTTTATGGCACAAAGCTTCGCAGAATAGCAAAACATATTTTTTTAAACCGTAATCGTTCCTTGTTTCCGAAAATAAATGGAATTCCTTAAACCTGAACTCACTTTCACCTGATGAATTTCGGAAAAGAACTTTCCGGTTCTGGAGAGGATGTGTCTTATACGTTTTTTACTCATTTTGGAGTGCCTTCATAGTATAATGCATAATAATAAGAAGTATGGTTCTTTCAAAAGTAGTAGCACAAGAAATTCCTTCGATATGAGACTAGCCCAATTTCGCCAAAACTAGGGCCATTTCTCTTAATGAGCCTAACTAAAATGGCGATTTTCCTAACTTAAATGCTTTCCCAGGTTTAAATCCACTAAGTGAATCAAAATAAATACATACTAAAATACCAAGTCAAAATCCTTGATAAAAATTGCACTATTTCTGGCCCATAGGGCATATTTTAGAACTAAGTCAAACAGTACTTATTGGTGTTACCATAACTTCTCCTCTCTGATGCTGAAGATGAAATTTAGAAGGCCTCTTATTACACATGAATGGATACGAAAATTCGTGATCCAGGTACTTTCATGAGTAGAATTGCCCCGAAAAGGTTTCTGTTTTTTCGACCTCGTGCAGAGCTAACAGCAGTAACAGCATAATG